ATCTAGCAGGACCAAGAGGAGTGATGGAAATAACAGGGTGGCTTTGGAGTGAGGAACTAAGGGAAGAGAAGGAGCAAGTCAGGAGGGTGTCTGAGGGAAATGCCTTCCAGACAGAGGGCCCTGCCAATGACTGTCCTATGCCCAGAGTGTGTAAGGAGCAGTAAGAAGTTCTGTGTGGCAAGTCAAAGAGATAACATGGTCACATCATGTAGTGCCTCTGAGATCCTTGGACAAACCTTGGCACATACTCTGAGTGACAGTGATGCAACTAGGAGGTGTGAGCAGAGGAAGGACATCATCTGACCTATTCCTTACCAGCTCCAATGGGTTAAGAATTGATGGAATAGGCATTAAGAAAAGAAGAAAATAGTCCAATTACCAGTTCATTATATTCATCGAGACAGGTGATGGCTTGGACATGGAAGATGTCTGGCTTCTGAATATATTTTGAGAGTAAAACTGAGAAGACTTGTTGACAGATTAGCTGTCAAGTCTATAAGGGAGATGTGAGTCAAGGATGACACCAACACTTTTGACAGAGCAAATGGAAAACAGGGAGGTCTGTGGAAGAAAATCAGTAGCTCATTTTTGGACCTATTAATTCTGAGATACCAAACAGCTAACTAAAGTGAGGTGTCCAAAGGGAAGAGTGATATACATGTCTGGAATTTTGGAGAGAGATCTAGGCTGGAGATACCAACTTGAAAATTATTAGCATATGTAAGGTAGTAAAAGTCATGACAAAGGAGATTAAAGGCTGAGCCCTGGGACATTTCCACATGTAAAAGATGGGAGATGAGGAGAAGTAGGTGATCCAGGCTAGGATGGGTGCACCAGAAAGGCAGGAGGAAAAGCCGGCTGTTAGAGTGATACCCTGAAAGCCAAGTAACAAAAGATTGTGGAGGAGAGATTTTTTTTCCACTCAGTCAAATATTGCTGATAGGTTCAACAAAAATGGGGTCTATGAAATCATGTCTAGATTTATCAAAGTGAAAATCAGTGGTAACCTTGGCCAAAGCCATTTGGGAGGAGTGGAAAGAGTGAGTATTACTCGCAGGAGCTCAAGGTGAGTGGAGATTTGAGTTTGTGAGAACAGACAGTTCTTCCAAGGATATCACCACTTAGTGGCATGATCGCAGATGATCTAATTTTCTTCATGTTTGGCTGTATTTTGCAATCCGTATAAAGTAGCACCTCCATAGACTGACCACCTCCTTAAAGCTGACCTAAGCTTCATAGGCTGAAGACACACCATGTGTATGTGTCAGTACAGCAGGTCTGGTTCCTTATGTTGACCACCTCTGTATGTTGACCACCTCTGTATGTTGACCAGTCTGTCACAGTCCCATGGGTGGTCATCTTAAAAATCTACTGTATACGATATATGTGGCATATGTTAACATGTTAGATATTTTAAAATTATATTCATAAGGTATTAAAAGTGCCAGACCAAAGTATTAAACAATAAATTTATAAAAGTGTACAACTAAAAGCCCCCTTGAATATTTCTGTATTATAAAGCTGATTATCATTTTGCTCATACTTATCAATGAAGACTCAAAAGACACTAAACATTTCTGGACAATATAATATATTCTTTGTTTCAGAAAATCACCCAACTCTAGGATGTACATTTATACTTGTCAATATACAAAGTAATTAATCATATTCTGTTACTGAATTCTATAACAGGAATCAAAGGAGAGAATCTAGAAAATAATTTTACACTGAAATTTGATTTTTTGAAATCATATAACATAACACTGTTAAAAAAGATGCTATGTTGTATACTATACTGAAACACATTATCTTGCAGAAGGAAGGATGATGGCATGTTTGTGAGATGCTCTTTAAAGTCAGACCCACTGCCTCGGCAGCACTGTGATTTCAGCACAGGGCTTACCAAGCTTACCAAGAGGCTGTGGGCCAAATACAGCCACATTCTGTCTGAGCCAGCAAAGCGCCACTGGAACACACCCATTCACTTACCATTTATAGCAGACTTTGGACTATAATAGAGACTTTATGGTTTACAATACCTAAAATATTTGCTATCTGGCTCTTTACCAGGTTTAGTACTTCAAAAATCCCTTCATGTACTGTAGCATGTTTTATCCAATATCAAGAAGTATTTCAATGAAATATGGTTACCCATGTGTGATCCCTTGGCAATAGTCAGATTAACTGGAGAATTCAATATTTACACACTCATGCATGGAATAAAACCCCCAGATTTAATAACCAGCAATTTTGTTGGTAACAAGGTAAAGTGATAAGGCAGCAGGCAGTTTCCTTTGGCAACTCAGTAGCTACTACAAGAATTCTAATAAAAGTTGTTTCATATGTTATAAAAGTAAATACTTTAAATAGACTTTAATTGTGAACTATGAAGACACTATAGAGCTAACCTCATTTTTAAAAAATGGTTGTGTGCCTGTTATGTTATAGGTATGACAATCTCAAGTTTTTATTAATGGATATTTAGACTATCTCCATTTTTTTGTACAATAATGCTGTAATAAATATCCTGAACACAAGTATATGATATGTGTATCTTTAATATGTCATATGTATTTTGTGCACAAGTTTGGACAATTAAGTTCCCTAGCTCGTTCTAGAAAAAGTGCCAAATACCTCACTGCTGAATTTCACTATGGTCATCTGTGAGATACGCCTCCTGGGAAGCTATGTACTGACCACCAGCACGTACTCTACCCTTCAAAGTGATTCACACTTCACTGCTGAGTATCCTCATGGTTACCAGATGGCCCAGGGAGTCATTTGAAGGGATTGTAATGATATTCAGCTATGAAGTTAGCAGCACTTTTTCTAAGATAAGCTGGTGAACTTATCTGTCAGACCTTGTATGATGACATCTCTGATAGTCATTCCAGAAAAAGAGTTCCAAAATTCCTTTGAAGGGTGTACTATTTGCTGGCATCAGTGCATATAGCTTCCCAGGGGGAGTGCCTCAAAGGTGACCATAGTGATATTCAGCAATGAGGTATGTAGCACTTTTTCTAGAATGAGTTCACAAACTTAATACAGTGGTGTGTGTGTTTACCCAAGTAACGTTATCCTGTATAGTCCCAGAAGTGAAGCTGTTATGTTGAAGGAATGACACACTTGGAATTCAGGTGCACGCTGCCAAATTACCCCTCAACAAGTATTATCTCGTTCATTTGCCAGCAGTGTAGGAGAATACATTTTTTCCTCTCATTTCCCAACATCCATATGAATGGAAAAAATATATTTCCTATTTTTTTTTTGCATGTTTCCATTTTTCTAATTATGAGGCATGACATTGGCCCAGGAGAATTACGTTTTTTAGTGCACTAAAATGATCTATTGTTAAATATTGCTACAGGCTTACCTGTCCAACTCTTCATTATCCTTCCTACCAAAATGCTGGTTGCCACCTTTTCCACTCTCTCTTTGTGGAATTGATGCCTCACTGTCACTGTCATCAGCATCGCCATCACACGGGCTTTTTGATATTTCTACTTCTTTACTTTTGTGCTTCTTCCATTCTTCAACCTTCAATGAAAGTTTCATACTAATGATGACTGTTATTACTCTAATCAATAGAAAGAAAGTTTTTTGCTTTTCATTGATTTTAACACTTGGCCCAGTTTAATTGTCATGATTCTAGTCATTAAATAATTTTGTGTTTGCCACTATATATATCAAATCAAATCATATATGATTATATCTTTTAGTTTTATCACTGAAATTTTTGTAAAATCTAATTCATTTCTGTTTCAATGAATTCGAATTTTTTTAAAATATCAAAAAGGGCCCTTGTCAATTCTATGGGTTTATGCCCATCCTTTCTTCACTGGCAGAATCAGAGACATAAAAATACAAAGACATACAACATGTTGTCATATAGTTTTCCCATCTGGGTCTTACATTAAATAGCGAGACGGAACAGGTGTTGCGCTGTGTGTCTCCCCCTTTCTGCTCTAAGCCATTCTCCCCACTGTCTTTTGTTATTCTTTTTTCATCTGGATCCTGGGATATCAAAGAAGTGAAGGCACCCACTGACATATAGGAACCAAAGGGTGCCACTAGGAGCGCACAGCAAGTTGCTGAGTTGGCAGTACAACATTCTGAAAAATGAGAGGTTTCCTAAATTCTGCATTTAATAAGCATCCAGTTTTATAGCTGGAGGATATCTAGTACAGTGATTATTGGCCTCAGCACCATCACTGACCAGTAATGGGGATAAAGGCAAACAAGGTGAAGGATTCCCCTAAGGCTCCTCGAGTGGATACCCTAGCACCCAAGGGCACCCAAAGACATGACACGATTCCATAACACACAGCAGACAAATTATCAGATACATTCATCAAATAAATCTGGTAAATTAAAACTATGACTTTGGCTACTAAGGTAATGCCTTAGTAGGGGACAAGAGGCCTCCTTTACTTTTATTTTGAAAGCAGAGTATCTCTAGATTTTTGTCCACCTTTAATACTCCATGTATAGAACTCCGCTTTCTATTTCAGAGTGGAGTCCTGAATTTTTGTCTGAGGATTACTTACTTATATGCTGCTCATAAAATAAAATCATACATGCCCAAGCTTACTGTACTTCATTAAACAGCAGAATATAAACATCTGATTCAACAGAAACATTTGAGTGTAGTGACTTTTTAAAAATATGGAAATAGATATGTTTACTGTCAGAAGTTATTTACAGTGGCCATGATGGAATTAAAAGTTCCAATAGTTTGTGATAAACAGATGAACTTGCACACATCAAAACAGAGTGAACAGACAGTTGAGTGGTAGTATTTGTTGCAACTCTCAAGACTAGACACATTTTTGTAGCTCTTCCCAGTCACTGCTTCCTTCCAATGCATCCTCATTTCATTGTTTAAATAAATGCAGTACATTTTTAGTGAAATAGGAAAAAAAAAAACAGAGCTTATTATATTTTTAAGCAATTTATTTAAAGTTTATCCTGCTTCAGAAAGTCACAGGGGAAATTGGCTAAATTAGTTTTCCAGTTCATATGCAATTTGGAAGACTGATGAAAGAGCAGAAATTATGAGAAGGTTTTCCTGAAATTCTCCCATTTAGATAGCAGAAATCAGCTATTTCAAAGCACAATGACATATTTAGAGAACCTCATTTTACAGATGAGCTTTTCATAAGAAGATAATCAGACTAGATCAGAGAATTGAGGCAGGGAAAAGCAAAGAGTTGTAGCAAGTGAACCCCTACATCTTTTAAAATTTGAAATGTTTCTTTCCCCAAAGCCAGGAAATTGACTTGCTTCATTCTTAATTCTTTGCATATCTTGCTATATAACTCAGGAGTGTCAAACCCACAGCCAGCAGGCTGCATGTGGCCTTGGATAGTTATGAATGCAGCTATGAATATGAATGGTTTATAAACACAAAATCATCAACTTACTTAAAACATTATGAGTTTCTTCGTTATTTTTTGGTGAAACTGGATTGCATGAACATGGCAGATGACAATGTCATACTGCAGTGTCACGAGAATAAACACATAACAACATCATTTACTTTTCGGACAGAAGATGGCTAAGTCAAGGCCAAATGCTGAAAAGAATTTATGATTTGCAACATGTCCTCAAGTTGTTTATGGTATCCAAAACCAAATTTGTGCCAGAACTTGATGGTGAAAACTTTGCTAGATTTAAACCACCAGTTTAAATCAGTTTATCAAGTGTCTTCAGGTGAAAACCAGCATATTGATACAATGTTTCAAACCACAACAGCATTCCAAATGAAACTGAAATTATGGAAAGCTCAAATTAAGACAAACAATTTTAGGCTTTTCCACAGGTTGACTAAACAGAGTCCCATGAAGAGCAAAAAAGATGGAGCCTCGTTTTTTGATTTGACACAAGAATTTGGAAACAGATTTCAAGATTTCTGAGAAAATATTTTGGTGCATTTGCAACTCGGTTTTCAGTAGACATAAATATGTTAACCGCAAAGTTTCAAATGCAATGCACAGAGCTGCAATCTGACATTTGACTTCAAGAAAAATTGGATCATGTCTCTGCAGGGGACTTTTATACATCCTGACTTCAGAGACAAATACCCCTCACTTCATACTCACAGCTTATTCATGTCATTGCTTTTTGGAAGCACTTACATCTGCGAGCAGCTATTTTCAAGAATGAAGAACAGTAAGAGTAAAATTAGAACCAAAATATCTGAGGATCACCTTGAGAACTCACTGAGAATTGCAATGGTTTCCATCAAGCCAGATGTTGATGCATTAAGTTCTCAAACACAAGGTCAAATATCCCACTAGTTTTATGTTGCCCACTTTTCTTTTACTTTTATAACAAAAAAAATCAAAAAACAAAGACGTTTTATTTCTTAGATATGTATATCTTCTATACTATATCACAAACTTGTGACCTGCTTAACAAGTTTAAGAATTTCTGAGTGGACCACCACATCAGTAGGACTATTATGTGAGGACATTTTTGCTTATCTTTGGTGGCCAATATTGTAAAAATTATGCACAGACCTTTTTTTGATTTTTGGCTCATCAGCTTTTCTGAAGGTTTTGGCCCAACACAAGTCATCTTCTTCCCATGTGACCCAGAGGAGTCAAAAGGGTGGACACCCTTGCTATGATTCTTCTTTTGGATACATTTGATGTTTTGAAGTTACTAGCATTGGTGTTATCATATAATGGCTTCTGGAACAAGTCTTGTATTGGTTTTGTTTTCATAAAGTGTCAGTAACAGCAGAAATACTGAAGAGGTTAATGTAACTCCATTTGGGAATGAAGAGGTTAATTTAACTGCATCTTGGAACTAACTCCCCATGCCCCTCCTGGGCAAAGTCGCCCAGGAGGAATCAGTCTATCAAAAGGAGACTGGCTCCCTCCTCTGTATTTCTTGGCAGCCAGTCTGAAGGGGACCGGCTCCTCCCTCCTCCACATTTCTGGACAAGGTCAATCAGCCCAGATGGAGCCAGTCTATCAGAAGTGGACAGGCATTCCTCCTCTGGAAAGTCTCTAACCATAAACCCACCCTATAGCACCTCTGGCTATCAGATTGTGCCAAGCATCCCTGAACAACAGCTCAGCCAATGGCAACCCCTCCCTACAAAACGTCTAATGAAATTCCTCTATATGCTTTAAAAACCTCCCCTCGCTTCATTTCGGGTCGCCCTTGCCCCAGCTATGCTGTAGGGTGGAGTGACCCAGGCATATGCTTGCAAATAAAGCACTTCATTGTCTTTGCATGTGTGTGGAGGTCTCTCAGCTGCAATTTTGGTCCCAACAATACTATTTTGTTTGATTCATATGCTTCCTTTCTTTGAAGCAGGTAAGCCACAAATCAAGAAGATGTTTTGGATCACTAGTCTGAGGCATATGTCCGATGTCTACTTTTCAATGAAGTATTATGGTTCATATTATTTTTCAGTCATTTTTACATGAGATGATATTCTTTCAATTGTACCTACTTCTTAGTTTTTGATTTTCAGTATCTGTATCATTATAGCAATTCTACTCATCTCTATTAAAACATAGTCAGTGTATGGTTTATTATAATTTTACAATCTAATTTATATTCATTTAAATAAAGTTCAGAGGATGATGGCAATGTATATTACAGGGGCATGTGGTATGAATAAGATGAAAGACATTGTCAAAACTTGGGTCATTTTGGGCAGGAAATTCCTGGAATACTATTAAAGAAAGACATTGCTGGTGCATCTTTTAACTCATAATCAGTAGGTCCTGCCCAGGGGACAGGATCCTTTAAGATAGTGGTTCTCAACCTTCCTAATGCCGCAAATCTTTAACACAGTCCAAAGGGGTCATGACCCACAGGTTAAGAACTGCTGCTTTAAGACTTGTGGAGCTAGCAGCAGTCAACTGAAGAAATGTAATGTTAGAAACTATGAGAGACAAAAACACAAGACACACAGAATAGAATTTTCGAAGGTGGGAACTCAGGGGACCACCACCCACTTATGGGGTTCTCATGGTGGCCCAAGTGTCAGTTCCACTCATCTTTTATTTAAGGCTATGTGTTCATTAACCCAGAGCAGGCATCCTCAAACTATGGCCCAGCCTGCAGGACTTATGCAGCCTCCCTAGGACATTTATCCGGCCTGCCAGGTGTTTTTGCCACCACTGCCTGTCCTGCTTAGCAGTTCACTCATCCCAGGGCCCTCAGTCCAGCCCTCCAACGGTCTGAGGGACAGTGAACTGGCCTCCTGTTTAGAAAGTTTGAGGACCCCTGACCCAAAGGGTAAGCTGAGGAAGGGAAAAAAAACATCAGCACTTTCTCTGAGTGAACATGTCACCTCCTATTGTTTTAGTAATCATTAGCTTTAAGGGTCTGAGTAGCCTTAAGAAATCCAGAACCTGAGCCTTTTGAGAGAGCAGCCTCCTGTCTGTGGTCACACACACAGATTCCTAGGGTGTTGTTAATTCCCACTAGTTCACTGTGGAGTAAAACACAACTGGTATCAATCTCCTCTGAAAAATCTGCGGCAATGTAGAATATTCCTGTCATCACCACCACAAAGGGTCTTCCTCTGTGATAAGGGATATAGGTATAGCCTTATCCTCCTGCCTATATTTCAGGGCTCAAGTTGTCCCTCGATCTCTGCCCCAGCCAAATACATACCTCCACAATAGGTATTTGCTTTGACTGTTAACTAGGCAGGAGATGCTCTAGTTAATGTTTCTTGCTAGACCTGGCACACTGCTTCTGCTGTGGCCATTATTCCTTCAGAGTGCTTATGGACCTAGCAGGGGTGTTAGGAAGCTCTATCCTCTACAGTCCAGGCTTCCAGGAAACTGCTCACATAAGAAATTTAGCAGCGCCTGTTTTAAAGGTAAACTAGCTGACTCTTCTTGATTCCTCTTTGCTCAGCTTATTTTTTATCTTTACCTTTTTGCAAAGGTGTTTCCTCTTGCCAAGAATGGGCTCTTCAGTCCCCATTCTGCCTGCCCATCAACCGTATTACTTGGAAAATTAGAGGGTATGTCCTTTAAGTTTGTCCCTTCTTTTGTAGTTGTTGTTGTTGCCATAAGGGTGTTGTTGTTGGGGTCTCATGGAAAAGCCATGTCGTGGAGAATAAGCACACTTATTGAAATTGTGTTTTAAATAAAGGTGACCATCTGCTCACTCAGGCAAAATGGCAGCCTTCTTTATTTGCTGTTGGTTTATATAGGCAATCTTGTGCATGTGCACTATACAGCAATGACCTCATTAACATTCATTACAATCCCTTTGCACATGCGCATTGGACATCAGTGACTTCATTAATCCATTTATACATCTTATGACCATCCACCCTGTAAGTACCTCCTCCCTGTTAATCTAATAATCCACCCAACACACACCTTTAAGAATAACCCTTTCAACATAACCTGGTTTAACATAACTTAATGAAGAACATGTTGTCAGTCATTACTTTCTTTGTTCTTATCTGATGAAGCCTGAGGCTACAGCAGAAAGAGATGATTTGAATGTCTATTCTACTGACCATGCCATTTGGAGGCAGTTACTTCAAATCTTTAAGCAAAGGATAGAGAAACTTCTTGGGCATACAGGAATTCGTGTGCAAACCTCTGCTCCCATGTAGGCCTTAAGTCAGGGGGTTTCTGCTGGAGCCTTTTGTAAGGAATTTTCAGTCTGGATTTCTCAAAAGCCTTTCACAAGCCCAGGTTTCATCTATGCCATTAGATACCTGTATACATTGGATAAATTCCTCTTCTCTTGAAGTCCTGTAGCACATTTCCATTCCTGGACCTGTCAGCAAGTGACCTTCATCACTTACCACAGATCAGGAAAGGTTACTCCATTCCAAGACCCGACCTTCATTATTACCACAGATCAGGAAAGGTTACTGATGGGTATCTGGCCAGTTTTCCAAAGGGCGTTTTCATTGGCCTTACAAAGTCAACCTTAATTCCTTAATGCAGTCTGGTAATGCAAGTCCAGCCAAATCCTTGGTCATGTTAGGCCAGCAACTAACCAGCCATATGGGATTCTGCCTCAGTTTCTCACAAGTGTGCCTGCACAAAGTCTTTTCACTGCTCTTTCTCAAATGGCATTTTTGACCAGAGGCATATGGGCATTTCGCCTATATTTTTTCCTTTTATCAAGTCACATATGCATGATCATGAATATGTTTATGCCTTTGTGGAATTCAATGTGTTGATTTTTTGTACAAATTGGAATGATTACATCCAACTAATTAACATTCCTTTTACCTCATTTACTTAATCACTGTGTTAAGACATTTGTGTTCTATACTTGATAAACTTGATCCATACTCTTACAATATGTTCCATAGGTGTGGCAGTGCCTGTCCTCAGGACAAAGAGAAATTTTGTATTTTTCAGAAATTTCACAGAATTTCTGTTTTAACTTGTTTATGATGAGCTTTATTTTCCCCTCCAATTTGCCTTGTTTAATTAAAATTTTCTTTCTTTCCTTCTTTTACTTTTTTTTTTGAAACAGAGTGTCACTTTGCCATCCTGGATAGAGTGCTGTGGTGTCAGAGCTCAAAAGCAATCCAAAAATCTTGGGCTCAAGCCATCCTCTTGCCTCAGCTTCTGAGTAACTAGAACTACAGGGACCCCTAACAATACCTGGCTATTATTTAGAGACTAGGCTATTATTTTGAGTTCTATTATTTATAGAAATCCTGAGACTCCTGAGCTCAAGCAATCTACCTGCCTTGGACCCCCAGAGGGCTAGGATTATAGCCATGAACCACCATGCCTAGGCTCCACATTTTCTTATATGATATCAAATATCCCACTAGTTTTATGTTTTCCACTTTTCATTGTTTTTATTCTTAAAAAAAGAAACTGATGAAGTGATGTTTATTTTCTCCAACCTTATTTCTATCTTGTTTAAGAGCTTGTGGAAGAACAGCTAACACCACTCAGTGGTTGTTCCCACCCTTTTAGTGGCCTGAGCAGTGGGAGTTGCTGCCTCGTCTCCATGGCAGGTTGGGAGCTCCAGTATTCAGTGGGAACTTGCTGGGTAGGCACAGAGGGCACTTGCAGCCTTCTGACCAGTCTGCAACCTCAGGCTGAGTAGCAGTGAACTCAGAAGCTAGGCCAGTCCATCCACCCTGAAATTCCTCCTCGGTCACACCTCTCTCAGTGGCAGCCTGCTCTTCCTTTTCATTCTCTTCAGGATCTCTGTAGAAGTAGAAATCCGGCATGATCTCCCATGAGTGTTCATGGGAGATGGTGCCACACATGCGGAGAACTTCCTGGGCAAACATCCACCACATCAGGCCTACTGAGGCAGCTCCCTTATTGTGTGGGATGGTGAAGTCCACATAACTCAGAGGAGAATCTGTGTGACACACAGCAGTGGTAGGCAGGTAACATACGATGCCTCTGTGAGAGGCAGGTGGTCAGGCCTGGGGTCAGTAACTATTAGAAGATGTAGCTCCCAGAAGGCTGCCTGGATCTGGTTAGTGAAAGTTCCGGAGTGAAGAGTTCAGTAGCAGGAGCAGTTCCAGTGGCAGCAGTAAACTTCAGCACTGCTCGCTGGCCAGTGTTCCTGGAGGATGTGACCCTGACATCAGCAGGATTTCAATGGCAACAACAGCCCAAGCTGCCAACAGAAGCTTCTCCCAGGTCCTCCTCAGATTTATGATGTAGATACCATCACTGTAGATGTACCTTTCCATTTGGAAGTCAAGGTTGGGGCTACCTAAGTGGGTTTCTGCTGCAAGGAATGTGAGCACATCCTCCTTCATCATTTGCAGGCATCAAGGTCTCTGGACACTGTGAAAATTTCCCTTGAAGTTATGGTGGGAATCCAGGACAATGCCATATGGACCCTCCCTGAGCAATGTGGAAAGCTCCACTTTTCTTTTGGAAAGATCCTGAATATACTGATAAACTCTATCAACCACATGCCCTATTAATTCCTTATTTGAAGGACATTCTTGCAGATAAAAATATGGGAGATTACTTTGCTTGTTTTGTTCCTCAGATATCTTTTCTGTCAGGGTACAAGTTTATAAAATATCTTTATCCTTATGTAATCAAACATGAGCAATGAAAATGACATTTTCTTTAACTTCTTAATCTAGTAAATCTAGTAAATCACTGGAGTATCACTAAGAGGAGGAAGACAATTTGCCTTAGCTTATAGGCAGAAAAATATGAGCCAGGGAACTTTGTCACTATTTCTTTGAAATAAATGTAATTTATTACATGTTAAAGCTACCTAAAACGAGTTTGTAGGTGAACTGTAGTGTTACAAAGGTTCCTCACTTAAAAAAATTTTACCTCACCACACCTTTAACAGTGAGCCCCAGGTATTTCAGTACTCTTTCTAGAGATAACTAGAGTTATCTGAAGAGTAGGCAAAATTCACATTATTAGGAGACAAAATCCACAGCAATTGGAAAGAAAAGTTAATTCTTAAACTTTAACTTATAGAATGTAAATTGATAGTGATATGTATCTAGAAAGACTATCTCCTTAGGTCCAGCTCTAATATATTCTAATGTTCACTAATGAAAATCGATGAACTAATTTTGATGCTATTAACAATTTCCCACATTTATAAAAGTTAGAAAGTGGTGGACAGCACCTGTGGCTCAAGGAGTAGGGCACTGGCCCCATATACGGGAGGTGGTGAGTTCAAACCCTGCCCCGGCCAAAAACTGAGGGGGAAAAATTAGAAACTTACTGTTTTTATACTAACCCCAAAGGTCCTATTCTGCAAGGTGTGATTCCTTCATGGGAGGTGGGTGGATCTTATGACCCTTTCTCTAAGTGTAGACACTGAGGTCTTTTGGAGACCTCAAACACAGTAAATTTTTCCCCTTAGCATTTGTGACCAGCAATATAAAAGTACAAATTTTGAACCACCTCAGTGGCCATTACTGTGAAATTGCTCATCATCTCTGTCATTTAGTAGTATGACTAAAGATTCAATGTCACCTTCTTGTCATGTAAGGAAGTTATACAAAGAAAAGCGCAAACAGATTTTTTTATGAAAATCTTTCTCAATTTACAAATTAAATTATGACCTATCACTTTTAAAAGACAAGTCTAAAAGGTAATTTCACTTGGACTATGCTAAATTCTTAATGTAAAGAATATAATATGAAATCAGGAATTTAAATTTAATTCTTTTTGTACCTGTGGCTGATTATTATTTTCATTCCCTTCAAGCCTCTGCTGCTTTTCCTCTGGTGTCAATTCTGTTGACAAATTCATATATTTAGTCAAAATGAGCTACTCAGAATGGTCTGATAAAAGCTATAGACTTCACAAAAGAAAATGGAAAGCAACATCTAGTTTTATTTTATAAATGGAGAGTTTAAATGGAGAAATATTTCTCATTATCCAAAATTTCAAAAAAATATTTGCAGAGATACTAGATATCATCACTTTCAAGGCAAAGAAATACATCAAAAGTTCATGGACAAGTTCATCCACTCAACATGGACAAACAAAATGCCAGAAACAAATCAAAATGGGAAAGTACAGTAAGTCACATAAATTGAGACCATGTACTATTCCCTACCCCACGATGGAACATTGTCAATAACATGCTACAGGTGTTGTTCATCATTCATGGTTTCCAAAGTTACTATTCCCTTTTATAGCATTATTAACACCCTTTTCCTTGTATCTGAAACATTTTCCTCTGCTACGCTGACAATCTTTTGTCTATATTTTAAAATTCAGACTGGCCCATGAAGCCTGCCTTCATTCTGGCTATCTTCCTCTAGATAATCAGGCATCTCCTTCCTGGGGACTGCCTTCATACTTTATTGCTTCTCTAATAGGCACCGCCTGAACCATATATTCTTTCCTTATAGGTCTGTCTCCTTTGGTCCCAGAATGCAGAAGATAATCTTTCAGAATGTGTTTGTACTAACAGTCTTTATCTATGTAACTCAAAAATTACTGAGTTTCTGCCAACATGTTAGAGCCGAGTACAGTGGCTCATGCCTGTGGTCCTGGCACTCTGAGAGGCCAAGGTGGGAGGATCCTTTGAGTTCAGGAATTCAGGGCCAGTCTGAGCAGGAATGAGACCCTGTCTCCACTAAGAAGAGAGAAATTGAACAGGTGTTGTTGTGGTGGGCACCTGTAGTCCCAGCTGCTTGAGCAGTTTATGCAAGAGCATCACTTGAGCCTAAAAGTTTGAGGTTGCTGTGAACTGTGATGATGCCATGACACTACCCAGGGCAACAGACTGAGACTCTGTCTCTAAAAAAGAACATATAAATAAATGCAGAGAGATGAATTAGGAGGAAATATTGCAAAATACACAGGATGCAGGTCTGAAATGAAGGAATGTTTCCAGAAATATTTTGGATTAAAAAAAAATAATGTTCATATTAAAATTAATTTTCATTGAATTAACATATGTATGAATCTGGGCATTGTGCTTAATTTATTTGGGTTTTCATGTTCATAATCATTTTTATTGACATATTTATTATTATTTGTTTTTATTTTTTTCATCCATGACCCAACTTTTACTACTTAGCGATTTGTAGTCCATCTTGTTTCATGTCACTCCAGCAAACATCCCTGCTCCGCCGTAATTATTTCGAAGTTAATCCCAAATGTAGTATTTCATCTGCATATATTTCCACAAATACCTCTAAAACTTAAAGACCAATGTTTAAATATCCAGCCACAGTACCTACCTTAATTACACTTTAAACTTAATAATTTCTTAAGATTGGTGAATATTTAGTCAAGTTTGCATTTCCCTGATTGCCTTATTATTAATTTACTTTTAATTGTGGTACCTTCATCCGATGAATTCCTATAAAGAACTCCAAAAAATTAAATCAGGCAAGACACTATGAATCATTCCTGTAATGTTACCATTGAGAAGGCCACAGCAGTAGCAATGCTTCAGGTCAGCAGTTTGAGACTATCCTGAAACATATAGTGAGGATTCGTACATACAGAAAATTCAAAACTTACCAAAGCATGGAGAGAAGCTATTGTAGCTCCAGAAACTCAGGAGGCTGAGGTAGGAGGAACGCAGGTGCTCAGGAGTTTGATGTTCCAGGGACCCATGAGGGTGCCACTGCATTCCAGGCTGGCCAGCAAAGCCAGACCCTATTTTAAGGAAATCATTAATTAATCAAACCAGAGCTTATGTGTCAGTGCAGGCAGATCTCAGAAATATAATGATGAGCAAACAAAACAAATTAAAGAATATGTATGGTGCATAACCATTTATATTAAAGTTTAGGAAACAAAAACAAACCCTACATAAAATTAATGACCATACACATATGTAGTAAGAAAGTCAGAAAAGACATGGGAATGATAAACACCAAATTACAGGTTTTATTTACTGTTATGTAATAAGTGTTAATTGTATAAAAAAAGTGCCACAAAGGCCAAAACATTTCAGAATTGCTGCTCAAAGTAACTGTGTACAGCAAATCATTACTGAGAAATGATGAGTTTCTTTCTTCATTTGTAATGATCAAAGATAACCCAACCCAAACACACACACATACATACAGAGCCTCCAGATCAGATAGCTGATTAACTTAAAGTCATCAGTAAAACAGCAAGAAGATGAAATGATATATGGTAAAGCAAAATTGATAAGAAAGCGAGTACGGTTTTCCTTGGGGAACAGATTAGAAGCATAAGAAGCATTTAAAACACTGGAAAAAAGATCACAGAGTCTCATACTGGGAACCTCAGAAGGACAGAACTTAAAAAAAGAAAATAGATGAATGAAAACTTAGATTTTAAAAATTTCTTTTTCACATGTTATATGTATTTCATTTCAATTGTGGATAGCAACCAATAACATTTGCATTATTTACATAAAACCTTTCCATCAAATTCAGAAAAGAAAAATTAGGAGGAAGAAGACTGTGAGCATTTCAAATATTTTAATGTATCTCATTCCAGACAAAATTTTGTATTCAAATTTTACCTGGTCTTGAATCAGCACCTTGGCCAACATCTGCAATAGCAGCATATGGGAAAGCCAGTGGGAAAAGACCCCTGGAGTCCAAATCCTTGTGACTGCCCGGGAGAACATAGTGAGACCTGGCTTCTGAAAAATAAATAAATAAATAAATAACACTGTTGGTGGAACTATAAATTCATATAGGCTCTTTGGAAAGAAGTATGGAGAATCCTCAAAGAACTCAAATTAGACCCCCCATTTGATCCCACAATTTCAATCTCCTAGGCATTTACTAAGAAGAAAAAACACCATTTTATCATAAGGACATTTGCACTATTTATTACAGCTCAATTTATAATCACCAACATCTGGAAACAACCTAAATGCTCATTAGCCAAAAAATGGATTAAGAAACTGTGATATGAGGCGGAGCAAGATGGTGGAAGGGATGCATCCCTGAGTCAATTCTCTTGGTGGTTTCAGGTAAGAGTGGGGGAACTGAATCTCTTCCGTGTGGAGTGCTGGTGCAGACAAGCAGCGCAGGGTGAGCAGCAAAGAGGTGAATTGCTGGATTGGAAATGTAGCCCAGAACTACAGTGTCAGCCAGAAAAAACTCAGGGCACCAGCTGAAACGGTGCCATCTGCAACCTGCGGGGCCAGGTCTGCGGCTTGCGTCCTGAGAGGCAGAAACCAATCCCTCCCCTAGAAGGGCTCCTGTGCCCAATTCATGGGGAGTTTGTGTGTTTCACTGAGAGTGTGGTGAGGCGTGGATTCCTGAGTGGAATTTAGCAGCCAGAAACAGGAGACATTTGGACCCAGTTTGGGGCATCAGGGATCCAGGCATTCAGACA